ACATTCCAAATCCCTTCCATTCTTATTGAAGGATGACATAAAGAAGACCAATCAAATGTTGGACAATATTGCTTCTGATGAAGCTAATCTGGAAGCTAAAATAGACAAGAAAAAACAAGAACTGGAGAGGAACCAGAAAAGACTGCGAAGTTTAGAAACTGTCAGGTACAGTTGTTCCCTCTTTAAAATTCAAGAATTGGGCAGTCCATGTGAGGATCAGATTATTAGATGATAAAAGCTGTATGCTGTTTTGTTTGCTGTCTTTTATTTTTATGTTTGAACCTCTTATGTTTGGGTTCAATATTATTCTGGCTTTAAATTCTCTTGTCCTTAATTTAATATGTGGATGTGGTATTGTAAATTGTCTGATAATGTGCTTAAACCAAAAATCTGAAAGAAAATTTTAAAGAACTTGGATGAAATCAAACCATGACAAATACTCAAAATTACAAAAACAAACAAAGGGTCCATGGTAAACCATTGAGAGGTTTGTTGTACTTAATTTAAGTCTTTGCTATATTTCTATGATAAGTTCATGTCCCATTGTTGGAAGTGCAATCATTCTATCAGGCTTTTAATTGGTTCAGCAATCTCTAATTGACAAGCTGATATTTTATGAAGAAAAGGTTTTTTTTAAAATAAATTAAGTAGCTACTCTTTTCCAATCTCTGTAGGCCAGCATACATGGATGAGTATGAAAAACTTGAAGAGGAACTCAAAAAAGTATATGAGGTGATTATGTTACTCTTGATTGTTGGCAAGTTTGTTACATTAAAATAACCACTCCTTTTTGTCCCAAACTAAGATTAATATTCACTAAACAAACTGAATTGATAAAGCAATAATTACCCACAAAGAATCCTCTACATTCAGTAGTTGTTTGATTTGACATCTTTGAGCAATGACATCATCCTTGCAAGAATAAGCAGAAGGAAGCCCAAAACAATTTGGGCTTGGACAGGATTTGAAACCCTGCATCTCAGATACTAAGTGAATGCTACTTAACCAAATGAGCTACAAAGCCAGATGTTGGGAGCCAGCCAAATTTTAGAAGGTTCTTCTTTCTCATAAGGGAATCTGATCACAGTTTTTTAATGAAATAAATTTCATTTCAGACTTTCATGGAAAAGCATCGCAATTTAGCTTACATGGAGCAACTACTGGAAGACATTAACAGGGCTGAGAGAGACAGATTTGAGGTTAAAAAAAGCATATAATTACTGTTGATTTTAAACTGTTGTAGTTTTTTTTCAATTTACTGTTTGATTTAGGCCCACGTAATTCCTCAGCTGTAAAGTTGAGGAGGCAAGCATTTTAATTTGCTTTTGATTGGTCAAACAAACAAATCTTTGTTCAAATCAGAGGAGCATTTGAAAGTTAGTGTAGCCAATTAATCCATTCACTCTGTAGATCTCATTAGTAATTTTCCTTACTGTCTACCATACATTTCTTGCAATGTTAGCTTAGAGAATTTGGTATTAGATCAACTAAAAATCCCCCTATTGATATTTTTCTTTATTGTCATCACTTGTCTGCTTGAGTATAGTATTGATATTGTAAGGAGAAATTCTGTTGTGGTCACTCATGGGAGTTTAAGGCTAAAACAAGGTGATGTTTGACTTTTGCTTATTCATGATCCTTTAGATTGCTTAACCAATCAACAGTAGCCCAAAGTTACATGAAGGCAAATCAGAATGTGCCATTAATTTTTCTGTGTTGTTTATGAAATTATTTTCACTTTCTTTTAGGAGTCTGAAGCAACAATCAGAAACATGCAAACTGCAGACCATGGCCAAGGGATTGACGCTGGAGATGAACTGGGAGATTTGGATGGTGGTGATGACGACGATGAAATTGTTGTTGAGGCGAACAATACAAGACAGGCTACCAGACCACAAGGTGAATGACTGTCACCGGTGACGCAAATTTCCCACTATGTGTTTGTGGCTAATTATTAATTGTTATTGTTGACATGAGACCACAAGGTCTCATCTCGTCTTCTCGTGTTCCTAACCAATTTAATGTCATTAGATTTAGATCAGAGACCGGCAGGAACTCCCTACGATACAGAGGTCCTGTTATTTGGAATTTTGTAAATAGATTAGTTAAAGTACTTGAAAGTTTTTATTCTTTTAAACAAATTTTACGTAAACATGTTAAGACTATTGACAATTTTTCATTTGAGAAAGAGGCAACTATGCCAACAGAAAGGACCATTTCATTTACTTTTAGATTTATATGTTAGTCTTAGTGAACACCATTTTATTTGTATATAGTAGTTCTAAGTTATTATTGCAATTTTTATATATATGTAATTCTTAATATTTAGTATAGTAGGTCCACATCAGCCCTTTGGCTGCCTTTCACACAACCTACTTATCAAATAAAGAATGTATGTATGTATGTATGTATGAGACAAAAAAAGCTATGAGGGTTATATACTAAGCTCTGAAAATTGCATATCTATCTAACATCTCGGTCTGAATCATTTCGATAAAGCTAAATGAAATGTTAAACGACGCATTTGTGGTATTTCTTCGCCTTCATGGCCTCCGGCCAAAAGTAATTTCGCAGAAAGACGCTACAAATGGCCCACAAGGACGGAAAAATATCACAAATGCATAACCCTCATAGATTTTGTTCGTCTCATGTCAACAATTATTAACACGAACACATTTTATAATATGGTCTTCCTGTGATCATACAACAGATGTCAAGCACGTGACGTGATGTCTCTAAGCGCTGGAAATTTCAACTGATAAGCGCGGGAGAGGGACAGTTACCTCGTACCCCGCTGAGTAGATTCATTTCTTATTGGTTTAGACAAAGGTTACCATGGCATGCTGCGCAGTGTTATCCCAACTTACTTCATTGAGTTTGGGCCTTTCCGCATCCGCGAAAAGCTATTTTGTTAAGACAAATTTGCTGTCACCACCAACATTTTAAGAGTGCGAATGGTTTATCACGACTTGACAAATTTTGGCCAAAAAGCGGACAAGCCTTCAAACGCGCCGCCGATACAATTTTTCCTGGGTAAACACTGAACAAAAGCGACTGAGTGTACAAAACCATGCTAAACTTATTGATCATGTCTCGTGGAAGCTACAACCAGCATGTAATTGAACTAAAATCAGTTTAATAGAAAGGAAAAAATGTCTTTCGTTTCAAACCTCGGGGATTCTAAAATGTTGAAAACGAATTAGGGTAAATCCTGGAAATTGGACGTGGAATCCTTTGGCAACTATGCTGGCCGGTCCTAGGAACAGATCAGGCGCTGACGGAATTTGACGGCTTTGAAATTTTGAAAGCGGATGCAACAGACGAAACAAAAATTAGTCATGATAAAATTTTTCCTTTGATTTTGTCGGGACAATTCTAGTTTTGTCCGCTAGTGGGGAAAGGCCCTTACTTACAATGTGTAGTTTACGTATGGATAATGTTTTTGTTTTGTTGTCTTTTCAGCTGCCGAAGCTGGTGGTCGAGTCTTCGGTTCCATGGGAGGAGGGCTTGATTCTGATGAAGTGAGATCTTTTCGTTGTTGTTGTTTTGCCATGAACTTTCCTTCATAGATTGGTTGTCACATCTAGCCTTCTCCAACTTTCATTTTACGTCGGCTCAGCCTCAGTTGTACATAAATTTTTTTTTATGTCTTTTTCAGGATGAAAGTGGTTCACTTTCTTCAGGAGAGAGCGACATTGGTGTTGATGACGATGAAGACGAACTTCTCGATGATGACGATATGGAAGATGGCCGCGGGGAAGGACGGGACGACGGCTCTCAGGCTAACAGTCTTAATGACAGTGATAATGACTTCTAAACTAACTAAAGAAAGCTTGTATATAGTTTGACGTCAAATAAAGACGTTACGTGAAACCCAAAGTAGTTACCATTTTGCCTTTACCTGTTGCTCAAGACATTCAAGACGGTGTCACTGGAACGTTACTGATCATTTTTAAGACAGACCTTATACTTATGAAACTTTCAAAGAACTGGAAAGAAAAGATGTGCTTGTGTCATTATTCCAGAACTTTGATCCGATGAATCCGAAGGTCTGAGGCTAGATTACTTTGGGGACTCATTAAATTTTTCTTGTCACACGCGGGTGATAGGACGATGATTGAACATATTTTCTCCAAATCAATGCCAAGCTCGAAATTTACCGTCTTACTTAAGCTATTATTTATGCACGAGACCATTTCGACTCGACATTGATGATCTTAACGGTATTTAGGACGTGTTACAGATAAGAACCTAATCTCCTACCCAGATCCTACCGCAAACTTGTGACTGAAATGTAACTGCTTGGCCGAGGAAGGTCTGGGCAAGAAACTGTTATGAACCTTGCCTTGGCGTAACTCTTCTTAGAGACTTAATGACTCATAGCGCATCGGAGCGCAGACTCTGAAGGTCCGAGGATGGATTTAGAGAAAATAAATGGAAATTAGAAGTTATAGAACCCTCCTTAAGAACAGAGTTAAAGTTCTGCCCTGCACAATTTGCCTCGATTGGTCTTTCTCGAAAAGGACTTCTTGTGGCTTCCACTATCTTCCTCATGTGACTGCTTATAGGTAGTTAACCTGGACGTCACAGCGAAGAGAACATATACGTATGTATTAGGTTACCCCCACCCCTTACTAAGGTGGGCTAGAAATCACAGCCAATCGTCTTATTTGCTACCTAACTCTGTCTGATTTACTCCAACCAAAATGAGTTTGTAATAACACTGGTGTAATGCCAAGTGCTTCACACTCAAAGCATACCCGTACATGGCGTTTGAAAAAGAGCAAATTTTAGTGAGACCCTACTCAGTCCATATAACCAAAGAAGCTCTTGACTTCTAGACAAATTCTTCTTGCCAGAACCTTGGGAAATGTATGGAGAACAGTATGGAAAGTAAGCAGACTGATGTTAGGGTGCATGGGTGTTAACGGTTAAATGGTTGTCCTCTCTGGAAGCGATCAAGAGCCAGTCTTTGTTAAAAAAAAAAAAAATATCATTTTATTACCACACGGTTATTCAAGCATACTTAATAAACAGGTATTAGAAAAGCTAAGTGTCAGTTCAACATGACGCACTAATGTTTGATAACGGAGCATTTAAATTTTTTTTGTACAGTTTCACTGTGGATTTGACTGGTCTCGTTTTTCTTAAGCAGTTAGGTACAATTTCAACCTATTTGAAACCTAGTGGTTTTCTTTTCTTTTCTTTTTTTTTTTTTTAACCTAATAATTAACATATGATAGAAACATGGGAAGAGTCATTGTGACTCAACCTTCCTAGGACCCTTTCACCCTGATGATGGACAGCACTGTATGCTCCCGTTACGAGTCACCACAGGACAAATCAAAACAAAGACGAACAAGTTCATTAAAATCAAAGGCAGTTCAACTTCGGAAGATCGCTCTCACATCTGGTCTGATCTCTCTCTCTCCCCCATCTGGTTGGTCAAAGGATAGAAATCTTACCGACAGAAGCGAGAAGTTTGATGTTATACTTTTGATTTGTTTAACTATACACAAAATTTGTTAGGTATCTATCTATTCTTATCCTCTTGCAGTTCTACTTGATGGTTCCCATTTTCTCGTTTTTTCGCAGTAAATCTTGATTCTTCCTCTTTGGATCGTTCAGCACTTAATTCTGGATGGAATCCCTCCTGACCATTTCCAGTCTTCACTTCATTTTCTCTATCGCTCTCGTGTTTTTCCATCTCTTCTTCTTCCACTTTCTCAACATTCTGTTCACCCTCTGGTTTACAATCTTTAGTATTTTCAGCTTCTCGGTCACTATCGTTGTCACTTTCGAGCAATTTCTTTTCCATCAAATCATTATCAGTGTCGCTTTCCTTTCCTTCAAGCCTCTCTTCATTTCCTTTCACCCTTTTTTCAGCCTCCTGATCACTTTCTAGTAATTCCTCTTCTCTTTGATTCTTCCCTTTCACTTCACTTACTTTAGCCATAGACGTCTTAGCTTTTCTGCAGTCTTGTTCCTCCAAGTCGCTTCCGTTCTCTGCCATATCTTCATCACTTTCACTCGACTTCTCCCAGACATCATCACTCTCGTGTACTTTTTTCCCCTCTTGGTCTTTTCCATCCTCCTCCATATCTTCTTTATCTCCTTCATCACTATCACTTCCTTCCTCATCACTTTCTTCCTGATGCCCAGCTCCATCGGTTCCTCGATCATCTTTTTCTTCATCTGTGGTAGTTTTACCATCAGGGTTGCCAGCCTCAGATGATTCATCCTTATTTTCATTCTCCTTACTTTCAAAGTTATTCCCTGCCTCCTCTTCTTCACTGCCAGCCTTCTCTCCCCTATTTTTTCCCTTTTTATGCCGTTTATGTTTCTTGTGTTTCTTTTTACTCTTACGTTTTTTACCCGAGGACTCCTCTTTCTTATCCTTATCTTTTTTCTTCCGTTTCTCTTTTCCCTCTTTGCTTTTCTTTCCTATTTCCTTTCCCTCTTTGCTTTTCTTTACTAATTTCTTTTCACCCTGTTTCTTGCTGTCTCTCTCCTTTCCTTTCCCCTCCCTATCACTAACTATTTTCTTGTCCTTATCCTTTTTCTTTAATTTTTCTTTCTCTTTACTCGTTTTACTTTCTTTCGGTTTATCTTTGTCTTTTTCTACCCTCGTAGTCTTGTCCTTCATCTCACCCTTGTCATCTTTCACATTCTGCTTTTTGAGCTTCTTTTTCTCCTCCTCCTTAACACCACCAATTCCCGCCTTCTGTTCCATTGGCTTTTCATCTTTATGCGAAGTCTTCTGTTTCTTCTGTCCTGTACTTTTCTGTTCCTTTCTTCTCTTTTTATGTCTCTTTTTCTGCTCTTCTGCAGAATTTGCGCCGCCACTCTGACCACGTGACGGAGTAGGCGAAGGAGACCTGGATTCGTCCCAGCCCTCTGGAGTGGGCGCTCGTGCGGGACTTCCAGAGGATCGTGAAAGGGAACGTGACCGCGATCTTGAGCGTGAAAAGGACCGTGACCTTGACCGTGATCGGAGTGATGGCGAGCGCGACCATGAGCGAGTTGGAGTCAAAGAACGAGAACGTAAACGTTGACGGCTTTTCTGAAGTTCTCTGTATTCTAGGAGCTCGTCATCAAAGTCGAAGCTACTACCCTCCTTCCTAGGAACTTTTTTGGGACGAGTGGTAGACGAATGCTCTCGCTTTTTCTTGCCTCTATGAAAAGAAAGCATGTCCAACATTAGATAAGCAATGTAAAGGCTAAGGATGGAAGTGGCCTAACATGAACGCTACGTTGCCATTGAGCGTGGCCAAACAGGAGTTCTTTTTTACCTCGTTTTTAGTTTCTTTTGCATTTTGTAGAACTCTCGTTCGGACATTGGCGGCGTGAGAGACCCAGGTCGGTCGCCAGGATGGAGTGGGTCGAACATCGCGGGTGGTCCGAAGGCTGGATGGCGTGGCAAAGGAGCCGCAACCAGGGCAGGAACAGGAGGCATACGAGGAAGAGCAGGTGCTGCTGCATGCATCCCTCTGATTGCCGGGGGGAGATAAGGAGGTGGACCGGGGTGGCGAAGACCACTCAAACCCGGACGGATAGCAGGTACACGGGGCACATGTTCCGGGGGAAGTCCGTGGGGTCTAATGGGTTCCGATAACCCGTGACGCATTTCAGGTACACGAGGTGGTCCCCTGCAAGAGGAAATTGTCAAGTATACCGTAAGTAATAAAAGCGGCACTGTTTCCTTCGTACCCGAGGGTTCCCCCTCATCAGGCTAAACAGGTATACTCGTCAAACAGAAGGCGGTTTTCGGATCTAGAATTTCAAACAAGCTGAACAATCTTATGAAGAATGTCTTGAACGAGGTGCCTGTCATGACAAGTGTTGAGCAGGGTGTGACATTTGAGTTCCCGAGTCTTCATGTCATCGTTCTCATTACAGTAGACAGGGGTGCCTGGGTCAATATGCCAAGATCCACATGATATTTACCTTCAACAAGGTAGGGGAAAATAAAAGTTTCTTCCCTAGCAGGGTCAGGGTTATGAGGCCTCGGCCACCCACCCTCCCCTTAACGATCTTTTGTGTTTCCCATGTTAAAAAGCATATAATCAAAGCATTTATCCTTTTAACAAAAAAATCTCACCCAAGTAGCGGTTCAATGCAGAAAAAAATTTTCTACACTACAGGAAAAAGGCTTGATGTAGTTATCAGTTGTGATAGACAGATATAAACAATACAACATAATTTGATGGTGCAGCTAGTGGCATCGAGGAGTAAGCTTTCTTGGAGCGCAATCATTTTGAACTTGGTTTTATCTTCTAAGCCCAGATTTCAAGCCACTTCGACAACACAACACAACATTCTCCAAAAAAAATTCTAAAATATAATAGAAAAATTTTAAGAAGCCAAGAAGAAAGACACAGATATAAAATTATAGGTTTTTCTTCTGAAGGCGTTCAAAGTGAACATGTAATTTACCTTAGGGGAAAATCGCCTGGTCTTCTACGAGGATCAAAAGGAAGCCTGACTTGATTCAAACCAAGACCTGAATCAATCGAAGATGTCGACTTAGTTAGAAGAACCAAGGCATTTGTTTTCTTAGCCCTGCATAACGGTACAACCACTGTTACCAGAGCCACGCGCACAAATCTGACCCATCCGATCACAAGGAGCGTGCGATAAATTCCGCCGAATTTCCTTGTCGTGTTCGCTTCCTTTGGTTTTCAGCACTGATTCAAATCATTGATTATTATCGAAATCAGAATTCAATTCCCATTTCATTGGTTAGTTTTATTTAAGTGACTATAGTAGCAGTGGTGTGGTATTCGTTTCTTTGCTTGAAACCGCCTGCTATATTCAGTATAGCAACTAATATAAGCTTTCAAATGAAGCTGTACAATGCAACGAAACGCTACATGGCCCAATGAATAACAATACTACTGTCCTACTAAATGTATGGTATCTTTATTTTGCCCTATACAGTTTCATTGAGGTTTGTTTGGGAAGAGGGAAAAGACATTGAAAGGCTTATTAGAGAGAGGGCTCAATAGCACTGGGGTCAATGGAGACGGAAGGGCAATCATAAAAGGGGGGGGGCAATCAAATTGTTTTTGGTAAGTGTGCTATACTTCAGACGAGGGTGTGGTTATTACGTATTAAGAAACATATTAGAAAGAGGGCCCTATCTACTGCTCTGTGCTTCACCTTGCTGTATTGGACCATCACGGTGGTGGATTCTGATTTGTTGAGGCTGACTTGATACTTGTTTGACAGGCTGTAGGAATGTATTAAGAAGAGTTATACAAATTGTATTTAACAGAATACTAAATGTCACCTAAACGAAAAAGGTAACTCTGAATTCACACGAATGTTTCTTAATTATTTAACTATAGAAGCCTCAGATGTATACTTTGCTCACCTTTGGGGAACTTTCTTTTATCCTATTTTCAGCATCACTTGTCAGTTTTGTTGCTAAAAGAAAATAAGTTTTAACATTTGTTCTAGAAAAATTTTAAATTTTTCATTAGAGGCTCAAAGGATTTGGAGACTTGCTTCACATGTCCGGTTGAGTATCTTAAGTGAGACGCAGACGAATACTTTTCTAGGAAATATGCAGTATCCACTATAAATTTTTCTTTTGTTATCGCTATCCTAATAATCATTGTTGTATCAAATGAAACTTGACAGAAACTTTGCAACTTTATACTACAAATAGGTTTTACTGAACGTTGTTCACCCGTGATTTGTAAGCACGACCCTGGAGTTACCTTGAGGTTCATTTGGTTTAGGATCTGAGGCAGCTTTTTCTTGACTACTGCTAAGAAAAAAGGGTGCATCAGTACTTCTCCAATATTGGTGACTACTAGTGGTTCACAATATTATTAATGTTAAAACTCTGTTTTAGTGACAGGATGGAAGGGGCAAGGAGGGGTGTGTCCAACATTGAAAGAGAAAAAGAAATTTTTTAATCATCTCATTTCCTGATGCTTAGACACAGTGGCTTGATAGTTGGTGCACAGGACTCTGGATCAAGAGGCTTAGTTTTAAATTGTTGAGTTACTCTGACTCCTTTGTTCTCTAGCTGAGAAAAGACCAGTCAAAAGACCACTGTCATCTAAATTCGTTCTCCCCAAGCTAAAAATTTTGTTTTCAAGGTTTTGAGATTTGTTGGAACTATTTCCCTTAAGTGGCGAGAATTCTCCTAAAGGTGGAGCTATAAAGACCCTGACAGAGTCTCGTGTATATAGAGGATCTTAAATCAAAAAGTGCAGAGTCTACCTTGCAGGTTCAACCTTAGTTGCTGGTGTGATTTGTTTACCATCTGTGTTGGTGGTAGTTGGTGCAGTTGCCTCATTAGTCTTTGGTGGCAATTGGGTTACAAAAGGGCTGGCAGGTCTGGCATTTTTGAAAGTGTTCACAGCCTATGCAAAACAAAGATGACAAGAGAAGACATAGGCAATGCATTTTTAACTTAATGTAATCAGTAATAGAAGATTGACTATTGTACGTTGATAGATGATGTCACAACAAACTACCCAGAATCTCAAAACTTAACTTTTCCCTTTAAGGTGGCTCCATTGAGTTTTAGCCTGATTATCATGACGTTATGTTTCCATGAATGGTTTGTGATGTTTTTTACCTTTAAAATCACTAAAAGTTACGTAAATGTGACAAGCAAGAGTCAGACTATTGTTTTCTGTAGTTAAGAGTACCAAGAATATCCCAATGAACTCTTATCCTGACAATTAACCCTTGACTCTAAAAATCTAATTAGCAGTTCTCCTTACTGTCTGCTATACAATTCTCATCATGAAAGTTCACAGAATTTGGTATTGGATCAAATAGCAATCCCTTAATAAATCTTTTCCTTTACTCTCATCACTTGTTTGCTTGATATTGCATTGATATTTTAAAGAGAAATTGTGTCTTGATCACTCACAGGAGTTAAAGAACTAAGTAACCAGTAAAAGGAGTGTGGGAAATTCATTCTTTATCTGGGAGACTCACCAACAATCTGGAAGTGTTGGTATGCAATATGACTTGATAAGTGTATTTACTCTTTGGACAATTTTATTTACCATTTGAGTCTATACTGCATACTGCTTGAGCAAAAGAGGGAAATGACAATTCAGTTCATGTCCTTGTTCTCACCTGCCTAAGCTGTTTGTTAATAACCAGTGAATCAGGTGAAACATTCTCTGTTCCACATGATGGACATTCCTGATCATTCTCCAAAAGGTAGTTTCTTATGCCTGAGAATAACAAGCCCAATACCAGCAATAAATACACGAAATGAAAAACATAATCACAAGTATCTCACTTATGATGGTGTAACATTTTCCATCTACATAACTTTTTACCTGCAAAAGGGCTGTTTCCGGATCAAATTCTTTTTAATTACAAAATCTATGTAAGTGGTTTTCTTTCTTACAACAAAGCAGTATATCATAATTTTAAAATTCCAATTGCCCTTCTGAAGCAACATTATGTCTTTTTCATGTTTTCTGGGTGTAGTTTCAAAGATAACACTGAAAGCACACTTGATAATTGGCAGAGCTTGTTGGAAAAGGGGCCAAAATTGGTCTATCTCACCAGGGTTTGACAATACACATATCAAATAAGTTCAGGGTCTATAAAAAGCATAAGTTTGTTCTGATTGTTATGCACCCTAAAAGTTAGCAAGAAAATAACATACAGTCATCACAGTAACTTGTTCCACAACATGGGATGAGCACAGCATCTGTCAGTAAATTGCTACAAGAGGGGCACCGTAGCTCAGCAGGAACTTTCTTGTTACCAGCAGACTGTGGAGTTTTTTCTTTTCCTTTTGATTTGGTTTCATCTCTAAAACAAATCAGATGGAAACAACATTAGCACCACAAATGCACCAAACAGAATAACCTAACATGTACATATACCTACAGATTGAACCTCACCCATCACAACTGACTTACACCCAGTAACATCACTGCTAAACTAACCAATCAGTTGACATGAACTGGACCTATACCACTTGACGGACATCAATTCTTCGCAAACTCTGATGACAACTTTCACTCAGTTGCCAAAACATCAATCACCACTACCAACAACAGTTCTTCCCAAGACTACTCTCACTCAAATGCTCAGACAATGCAATCGTGTGTTATCCCTGGGTTCAAACCATTTACTGAATGGGAAGACTGACACTCAAATTTTTGAGAACTGTCAAACTAAAGAATTCATTTCTGCTATATCTCATCATATATACTGACTTACTCTTGATTTGAAGGTGACAGGCTACTGGTTGGTGGTGATGATGTACCCTCTGCTGTGCTCAGAAAAGTTCGAGGAATACCTGTTGTGCGTTTCACCTTTGGAACATCAAATCTAGCATCCTAATGACACAGTTCACAAAACATTATATTGGAAACTCAGTATTTTCAATAGCATCTTACAGGAATCTGACAAGAAGTGGAAGACATTGAGTGTACAACTGTACACCTAACACCTGACCTGAGATGACAAAGAGCAAAGGAAACTTCACAAAGTTTTTCAGAGGCTGAAATAGAGGCCCTAAAAACTTCAACTTGAACAATATTCTTAGATGTGCCCCCAGAAAAAACAACAAAGGGAGTCCTTTTCTGCTTCTTGGAAGGCTTGTGCCCATAAAAGATAGAGATCTATTTAAACAAAAACTGAATACTACATGTTCTACGACTGTTAACTTTCTATGATATAATAAAAGGCTAAAAAAGAAGTCAGGGAGGGCTGTTAACTGCACAAGAAGAAGACTTTGAAAAGCCCACTACAACCACACAAGTTTGTAAATGTTACTTATCTACTTCATCAGTCATTGTAACAATAAAAATAGACATCCCTTTGCCTCATGGTGCACCAGGTTGCCAGAGGCACAATTCTTAATCTATTTATCTTTGCTGTATACCAGAAGCTCTCTGGCATGGTGTCTCTTGGTGTCAGAATGACATGTTAGTAAATTTTGAGATAATGACAGATGTTGCACATTTGCCAGAAGAGTGGACTTGGAGATTCAAATTTTTTTCTTCATGCATGCATGCATGCACATTTTTAGCACATTTTCAACATTTTGAAGTAGATATATTTCACAAATGACTTCTAACTTCTTTTGTTTTTGGAAAAATAATTACATTAAAATTGAACTGGCTCTCTTCCACTTACTCCATTGGTAGGACAGTTCCTTATGAAGTGCCCATGTTTTCCACACCTGTAACAAACATAGCTTTGTGGCACTGGTACACCTGGTGCATAAGGACGACGCCCTTTCACATACCTGTCAAAATAGAAACAGGTTAATCCTCTAGTGGATTTGATCAGAATAAGTGAAATACATGATGTAATTTTAACCTCTAGGTTTAAACAGGAAATGTTCTGAAAAAAATTTGGGAAACATGTTTGAAGAACCAACTTAACACTGTCAACCACTATGATACCAAGTTAAAACAATAAACTTGGAAATATGCAGGATGAAAATTCTCTGCTTTCCAGTCCTAAACAAATCAAAAATTATATTTGAAGTCTTGCTTAAAGGAATGATTAGTGCATGCAATCATCTCAATATTAAGAAAATGAGCTCATCCTTTAGCCTTTGAATACTCTGACAAGACAATAACCATAACATGATTTCATATACACAGCTCTTAGCACTTAAGAAAATACTCTCATCACATCTAGTTGCTTGTACATCAGCACACAAATATTTCACTAACAGAAGAAAGAGCTTCACTGATAATGTCTTATCTCCATAGCCACTTGGAACACAAACAGTATTCAATTCTATCTCATTATCAGCTGGAACCAGATGAACTACCTAGGTGACAATGCTTGAATAACTGGGGTGAGTTCCCAAAGAAACTGATGCTGCATCTTGGTGGTCATTAAAAAGCAAAAAGGTTCTATCACCTGAGTTGATAAAGTAACTTGGCCACCATAAAGAGTTTCTAAAGCTGATGTTCCTCCATTAGAGTGAATTGTGAAGGGCTATCACTTGAAATGTCAGCTTCAGAAACTCTTCCAAGAGGCCAATTTACTTCATAGGTGATAACACAAACGTCCTCTCTCCTATTTCTTTCACAGAGGAAAACACATCCCAGGCTATGATTATCAGCTGAAGGCAACAACACCTATAACATTCATGTGACAGAGGTCTGAATAATTTTTTTAATCGTTACAGTCCAAGATTGAAAAGTAGTTCTACGTGGGATGTGTTGACATACTGTGATGGATCCCAATCCTCTCCTGACTGTTTCATCATTGCCTTCAGCTTATCTTCCTCTGATGCATCAGCATTGGCCAAATCAGTCACCTAGGGAAGAAAGGTAATACTGTATACTACAATAAATCTTCCCAGCCCATCTTGGTATCACTCTATCACTGCATCCAATTAACAAGCCCGTCTGTTACAAAAACTATCTTACCATTAAGGATTTGGGCAAACATTTAAAAGTGAAAAAAATTAAAAAAAATCAAAGTTTCAATATTATCTTGATATCATTTCCAAGCAAAGAAATAAAACAGCCAAGTTCAATATCTAAGAAAAAGGTGTCACATGGTTCCATGGGAAACAGTGTTTGCATGCCCTACACTCAATAGTGTTCTAAACAGCTGTGTTCAATATTTCTATTTCTTTCTTTGTCAATGATGGTACCAAAACGTGGCATGTTTTGCTAATGTAGTTCTCAATTGTTGCCCAAACATCCACAAAAACAATATTTTTATATAGTGAATATGGCATCATAAATGCAGATAATTTAAGAGACCCTTCTGCATTTTGTTGTTCTCATGCAACAAGTCAGGAACAAGAATTCACTACATTACAGTACAGGTACTGATTAGGAAAAAAAATTTCCCTTTTGCAAAGGTTTAAAGATGTCTTTTTCTGAACAATATTAATTTTAACATCCTCACTTTTGGCATCAGTGAAATGTGATAGCTCCCAGACAGATTTTTGGATTTTGTCATGAAAATGCTCATATAGCTTCTTTCAAATTTATAATTTTGTTTGTTAGTCTGTTCCAACATGATATCTTTATCGGTCTGATTGCCTTATGTTAATTCTTGACTAATATTTGTGTCATGGATGGTAAGCATGATCACTGTATGGCAAATGCAGTAAGAACCCTGTGTTGAAGTCATGTTTGGTCAGTAAACAGTCAAGAGCTAATGAAAATCAAGGGTGCCCAGAACACTAGGTTCATCGAATTAATTCTTTAGGTTTATTTCCCTTTTGTTGCACGAATAGCTTTTCATAATAAAGTGGGTCATGATAAAGACACACAACCTGGTTTGTACCTAATACTACATAAAATACACAAGCTGATGTAACAAAGCCTAATGGGTTAAAACAGAGGATTCCTACTGAAATTTTGGTCTCGCAGGCTGTGGGGATAAAATTCTGTTTGCAAAAGAAAATTTTAAATCAAACACAGGAAACAGGGATATCAGACCTTGCACGTCAACCTTACTTTTGAGTTGTGTAAACAAATGGTTTGTCTGTCAAATATTCAAGTATGGTTCCTGTTGGTCAATTATTCTGTAGTATCATTAGCTTTATGTTGTCCTAATATTAGCCTTGTTCATTATCTAGGAATCAATTTTCATTGTGGTCTGTCAATGGAGGTTACAGATGACACAAAGCAAGATTTTGTCATTTTTGCCATCCTAGTTTGTTCTAAGTTTTTTGTTCTTTGTTCCTCCTTATATTTTGTTACTATCGGCAACAAAGAGGGTTCTCCCTCAAATGCTGTGATTTGAATAACTTAACAATTGCTTCATGTGTCAGCATGTGTTAATTGATATATGGAGCAAGTTGAAGGTTTGGAGAGAACAAAATATTCCTAATAGATATTTGAGGTGCAGCCCACGTCAGTTCTAGCTAACAAATAAACATTTTTTTTAATAAACATTTTTCCAACAGAGTGGTTTATTGTCAATATAGCGAAAATCTGGCTCTGCTAAGATTCAATCCATAATTACACATGTCACTAGTGTGCACAATGGAATTAAGAAGCACACTTTAGCAATGAAATTTAATAATGCAATCTATCTAGTTATGTAACCATTTACCTTGCTTAACTTGTTGGATTTTACAACTTGGTAATCTTGGAAACCACTCTTCATGAATAAAGTTGAAAAGGAACAACCATCAATAACAACTACAGTGAAGAAGACTGTACTTAAAACATCAATAACTTATACTTTCCTGTACATTTAGAGCCATTACTGAAAAAGGGTGTGAAGTAAATTTTACTTGAACACCCAATTAAATCATCATTAAGCAACATTGTGCAAAAGCATATCTAACAAATAGCTTTTGCTTCAAGTGCAGACTGTATAATGTGCCAAGCATATATTTCTGCTGTGGAATAATAATAATAATAATAATAATAATAATAATAACAATAAAAATAACAACAATAGTAACAACAATAACAATAATAATAAATCAGTGTGACAAAGAGACAGAAAACAAAATAATTTCTTAGGAAAAGGGGCTTAACTTAAAGAGCCAACCCAAAAGTGCACAAGAGCATTTCATTTTCTAATTGCCTTAACTCTAGAAGAATTTTGTGGAATTGTCTCTTTTCAAGGCAAACATGAACATTTAACACAGTTGGTATTCTATAGTATAAATAAACAACCAAAAAATATAGCATGAAAGGACAACATATAGATTGAACTTCTTTAAACTTGCAGTGAAAGTAAAGTTCACCGAAAATCAGCCACAGGTTAAATCACTGGGAGATCAAACTACTTCCTAAGAAAGAGGTTACACATACATGCAAGCAGTAGCTGTGGCTACCTGGGAAGGAAACCTTTGTTTGTTATTTCTTCCAGTCCCAGAAGAGAACATATCAGTAAACAAAACTAAATTTCAAAACAGTATCAATAGAAAAACAAGACAAGGAAGTCATGCAAACATCTGTTATGATTTTAGAGGGAGACAAAGAGGAAAAAATATCAAAATTTCAAGGTTTTAGTTTACCAACTTGTTGTAAATTCTAATGGCAATGGTTTTTGAATGGGTGCACACTATGAACAAAGCTGCAAAGCAGGTCTTTCCTTTGTAATATCAGAGCACAGTAAGACCTTTTGACAGAAATTATCGCTTTGCTAGAAGGAAATTTCAATAATGCTCCCCCTATTGTTATACTCTTAATTGTAGGTTGTAATTGGATGAATATTTGGTACATTCAATCTGCATGTGCTTCTAAAAACAACCACTTTAGGTTATGTTATGCAAAACACTGCCATCATTTTCATATGAATAGAATAGATCTTTTCCAGTACTTGAAACTTTAACTGAGGACTTGGTATCAGAACTCCAACGATGCAAGTTTTTGACATTGTCTTCCCTTTTCCAGGGAAAATTAAAGTGGGTACTCTGCAAAAGATTCCCATTTGTGATTTCTCCACTTGATGGATTGAATTACTTTCATCTTGTATACATGCTTTGTCTTCTATCAGCATCTCCTCATGAGAAACACCGACACTATCTGCCCTCCTACAGTAGTCTTCAAAGTCATGTTTACTCCTTTTATCAACCCTGTGACATGACAGGGAAGATAGCAAAGTAACAAAAACCATCCCATTTTCCTCCAGTAATAAGCTGTATAATAGCTGTAACTGTAAAGACTTCACTGACAGTAGGTATCAGCATTGTTGTCATCCTCTCAACAACAGGAATTGCATAAATGTTGTGATGCTTTGAAATAAATTGTAGATATTCTATAATTTCCAGATTAATGCACAATAACTTGGAATCCAATATGGACTTCTATAACCTTTAACACTCCAGTGCTACTGCAAAATATTTCCAAGGGCAGGAGAGTTGCAGTTCTTTTGTTGTAATCCACTGAACATTTTAGCAGCTTCCACACACACCATTAGAGCAGATCAAATAAAGTGCCCCAGATAATCAAGGGAGCAAATATCCAACAAAGGCATTTATTGCAACGAACTATCCTTGAAGCGCAAGTCTTCCATATTCAAGGCATTCTAATGAGAAGTGGCAAGAACTAAAAGTTCTTAATATTTCTTGCCTAGAAAAACTGGCAACATGTACAGTTCTGATAAATACCAAAGTGTTCATGAATTGTCCATTAATTTTGAGAGCATAACCTTAAACAGCTACAACTACACTCAGGAGTGTATTGAAATAATGCACACAACAGTGTGAGGAAATATCAAAATAATAATCCAATGTAGCCAAAGAAAAGCTAAAAGAGAGGGAAAGTATTTAGTACACAAAATGCTTTTGATATCATGTTTTTTGTTCCAGTAACTTTTGAACAACCATATTTTAAAACAACTTACTCAAGGGATTTCAAGGTTAACTCCATTTGAACATAAGGACAATTTAAGGTCACTTCTTGAAATTGTATAAAAATTCTTATCAACACATTTACACACATGGCGTTAACTGGTCCATTTATAAACAAGTTTGTTGACCTATCATTTCCTCTCTTGTTTAGAATTTTTGGCATTGTGAATTTAGAAAATTCCTCAGAACTACAGTCAACTCCCAATAAATTGAACCTATGCTGCAAAACTTAATTTTTCTTCTCAATTTCTGTCAACCATTACTGTTATCTTACCCACTGCAAGTTTCACTGGCTCAAGGTAAATTTATAAACAGTGTAATGTACCTTCAGAAAGTGGTATGGTTTATATTCCTCTATTTTTTTGAAAAAATTCTGTTTACTCAACTCCTCCACACTTGATGTTGAATTTGATTTGAATTTTCACCACAGACCTTTTACATAAATGGCTAGCCAAATTACTATCCTTTTACAACTGTGAAAATTACCTTTTCTATAAAATCTATAAAACAAAAAGAAACAAAAGAATTTTCACCCAAGGGTGACACCAATAAGGCTCATCCATCATTACGAAAGAGGTCTATTTGAATCAAATGCTATTGATCAGTATGTCCCTTTTTCTTAACATTCCCATTCATTTGTTCACAACTCTCATAAAACTTGGTCTCCTGATACCAGTAGGGATCGATTTGTTGAGGGTTGACTGTATTAAATCCTGATAACATCAAAACAAATAATAACGAATACTCCAGGTGCTGCTGCTCCTACACAGGTGTTGGAAATAGGAAACACAGCTAAAGCCATGTGCAGTGACTTAAAATGCCCTGATAAGTGAAAGAACCAAATACAGCTCTTCTCTACATCCCTCTCGTAAATTAGGACAAAATTATCCCAAGACTGAAAATAATTGTTCCCACTCAGGAACCTTTAAATCAACCTTGAAATTTCACACTGAAGACAACCAATAAATTTAAGTGTTGAGCTCTGCATGAACTTCTCATTGTGCTACAGCCTCAAAGTCATGAAAGTTGTTTTCAAAATTTCCAAAAGATCAAATCAAATCTCCAAGATTTTATTATGAATTCTAACTACATGATGCAAGCCATTTATTCTTTATACCACAAATCACTTTTATTTAATTTAATTCAAGCAAGGTAAGCTATGAAGACAAATATGCAAAGTTGTACAATCCATTCCCACCCTAACCAGAAATGATCTTTGGCATGATGTTGTTCTAGGGTGATGCAAAACAGAACAATATTCTTCTTAAATAAACTATTACTGACTATCTCAGAAATCAAGATTACAGGTGACAGAAGGGAACCCATTTGTAACTGCTCCTAGCTATTACAAACATCTTAAAAAACTACTATACTGATTTGATTACAAGTATTCTTCAACCATGTACATACTGTTTTCTGCTCTCCACTTGAAAAAGGAGATGCTCTATCCCTGAAATGCAATATTTATATCCTAAGAATTAGATTCTAGCTTCACACAATACACATCAAACATAACTATCTAAAAGATCAACAGACTAACTTGTACATTTCTACTCATTTTTTTTTGTAAAACACCTTAACTCGCAATCAGAAACAAAAACCCTCATAAGTATCTAAAAAAAAGGAATGGAGTTCTGATGCATGACCATAAGTTTTAGCATCACATATTTAAGCAAAGGCTCAGCCAGCATTCTATACTGCCTTACATTGACAGAGTTATGGAGTGCCATAAAAATCCTAGAGGTGGTATCTATGAAGCATGCTCACTAGACTTAGAACAACGATAACTTTTCCCATAGGGAACAGGAAATGCAAACACAAGATCCTGCTAGCAGGCTAAAGAGATGGCAGTAGGAGGTATTTTATATGCAGAATTAGATCACTAGTAGCTGGAATTTTATTGAAACCCCTGCTTAAAACAGATTTGTTGGCTTTCCTTTTGTCACAACTAAACGATATTAACTCAACCAATCAAATATACTGTTATATATGCTTCCCCAACTAAGGATATTTAACAAAATGGAAAAAGATTACTACCCCTTGACACAATCCTACAATATTTGACAAAAATGCCACACTTACGCTGCCAGTTGAGCTTTACTCTTTGTACCAACTGGAATACGACGAACAACCACAGAAGAATTCTTGGGTATCATTGTCATCTCATCTTTGTATTCTACCATGAAAGTTAAAAGAGGTATTATCTATAAATGGCCTTTACATGCAACATCAAAGTTCGCAGTATGAGAGAGAAAAAACTTCATATCAATCACAAGGAAACAATGTTTTACTTGTTGCTAATATTTTGAAGACAAACAGTAACGCATAAATTTTAATAAACTGAAACGTAAAACAATCTTGAACCAGATTTCAGCATGTTTTTGCCTGCTCTTGCAAGTTCAAAAAATTCTAAAACGTTCCGCCAAGCTTCTTCGGGTTAGCGATAGGTAAGAGTTGGTAAAAACTAATTTTAATTTATTGAAGAGTATATAATCGGAAAATTGATCAAAAGATTGTGTAATTTTAAACGAACGCAAGTAATCCTTCATTTCTAACTTCGGGAACTGTATGATTCCACGAGTTTAAGCTCACACTCAATTATGGAAACCATTGTGAATTAATTACGGAATAAAACAACTAGGAAAAACATTTATTTGACTAGACTTCAAATATAACTTTAATACAGAATTGATTCGCAACCTAACTAGACACCACGTCAAAATAACTGCTCACCTTCTTTCGTCTGAGCATTGGTAACCTCCAGGTCAAAATCACTGTTCTTTCCGAATTTTTTCTGAGTAATGATTGACTGTTTAAGGTCGGCAAGCGAAATAGAAAGTCCGTCGAATGTAATTGTGTCATATTCTAAAGCACTTCGGAACTTATAGTGAATACAAGACATTAGGATACCGACAAAATTCTAACAAAAAACGAAAAAACGTTGAACGAAATAGCACAAACGATAGAGTCACCTCAACAAGGAACACGAATCAGTTCAACATTTTCTGAAGCTAGATAAGGCGGGGAAAACGAAACATAATGGAAAATTCACTCGCATAGAAAGAAAGATAAATAAATGAGTGAAGCTATTATAAAGGCAAAATCCAACAACTCTAAACTACCTAAAGAAATCTGCTGAAATAAGAAAACGGTGGCCGAAACCTCAACGCGACACGACACGAGTAATCACAGTTCGCACAGCTTTTCGGGAATTTGGTAATTCGGATATCAGCGAAAGGTCACGAAGGATGACGGAAGCTGCCATAAATATTCGGGAAATGCTGATCTCGCATGTATCACCTTTGTGACGGCATAGGAATGGTTGGGACCGCGGTTGATCACTTGGTTAACCTTTAAAGCTATGTGGTGGAGATAAACTGCAAAAACCAAGCCTTTGTCGTCGTGTCATGTTAATTCTTAGGAAGATTCCATAAGGTGACATCTGCCGGATCACGCTAAAACAGCTGTGAAGATATCAAGTGTTTCGCCAGCGCACAATATCATTCTTGAAGTTGACACAACTTGCGTTAATTTAAAGTGAAAATCATGTTTCCATTTCTCTTGAGACGAACTCTGTCACAAGCACGTCTTGCTTTGCGCTTTGAATCACTTCAATTAACCAAAACTGCATCACTTTCGAGCCACATTAAACGAGAACCGAGCTCCACAAGTATCGGAATCACAAAGGTCATGGTTGTATTGGTTCCTGGGATGTACTTTGGCGGACGATTGGGAAGAAACTTGGCTGAATTTTTAGACGAGTGGAGTATTTTCAATGCTGAAGACGACGATGAAGATGACTAGGAATTTAACACGGTACGTGGTCATTAATTAAATCAAACTTCATTCTACAAATAAATTTTGTGGTTTTGACTGCTTCTGTCAATGGAAATATTTAGTGTATTTTTAATAGTTCATAGTTATAGTGTACTAAATAATAATGAATAGTTTGCAATGCCCTAAAACACAAGGTTCCTGAAATATTGAAATTATTCTTTAAGGACTATACATGCTGAAATTTTAAGTATGCCAGGAGCATGTTAATCCAATTAGCATCTTGTGCAGTGAGTTCGAAATAAACGTATGTTTCTAACTAACAGTGAAAAAACTTCTCGTGGAATTTGGGATAAACAGGTAGACGTGGAATTGTGTTTTTAAAGAATTAACGTTACCAACTGGTTTTCTTACAGTCTTATTCCTTTGGGGCGCATTAAACAAATCCTATTGTTTGAATTAATGGTATGTTTATTAAAATGATGTTGTTAACCAAAAGCTTGAAGTTTAAATTTTGCTTTTATTTTAATTTTTGCTTCTCCAATAAACAAAAATTTTTTTAGTTTACAATGTTTCATCTTGAAGGGTGTAAATAATTTCTTGGTCCCTCTCTTTTTCATTTCAGCTTGTGCCAGTGATGTGAAATGGTAATTTCCTACTCTGCACACAAACTTTACCACATGAATATTATATTTTAAGACACAAGGAGAAGATCCCAACAAGATTGATTTCTAAAACCAAGAATATTTTTATAAGAACAAATCTGTATTAATTTTTTTTATTTTTAACAGAAATTTTACGCTAAGGGTGGCAAATTCATATTTAACACGCATGAGTAAGTTTTAGTTTTTTTACTCTGGCTCTACTGTAAATTAAATAGCTGAATCCTAGTTTATGTGGATTGAATAAAAAATTAAGTGATGTTTGTGATGTACAATTTTTGGCACCAGTGTTGTGTAATATGCTTTATTAGCATACTATTCGGATGGCACTGTGCACGTAATCCCACAGAAAACCATGACGAAAGCTGACATTCATCAGTGCTTTCAATAAGACCTGGCACCTGCCAAAGCTCCAGTGGGTATTCTGTTGTGAATCCCAGGGTATACTTTGGAAGCTTTTAAGCAAACTCATGAGGTGAGACCTAAAACACCTCAAGTTATTCTGGAGTTCTTTCAGTCAACTTTTACCTTAAGTTTATAAACAAGTTTTGATAAAAATGATTGATATTGTCTTATAATATATTCCAGCATACGTTTCCCAGCAAAAAAAATATTTTGAGTTTCCAATAACATACTGACTCAAATTTCAGTAACCAGTAACCATATGTCCTTTCAGAGGACTTTTTGAGTGAAACTCAGGGAGCATGCTTGCATGTCAGCAAGTGGAAGATTTTGATCAGAAATTACATGATTAGTTAACCAATTACTATAATGGTAATTAATGAATGATTAATGACCATCTACAGAAGTTTAACAATGAAAACTCTCTTTGAAGCCAGTTTATTCTGAATGGAAGTTGTGGTACAACAAGAGGGAAATTCTTGCTCTACTAAGGTAGCCACCTTCTTCAAATCTTATTGAAAGGTATGAATGCATAGGGCTGGATGGGTTGACATGGGTCTAGAAAAAGCCATTTGGCCCTGCACTTACACAGCTCTTTTGTACTTCCTGAGAATGTGAATTGGAATTATGGCCTTCAACTTAAATTAAAACAAACAAGAGAATGAGTAAGGCTTCATTATGAATTATGAGTTTCTTGAAATGACTCAAAGAGTAGAAGGAAAAGTATCTACTGCAGAATATTTTTTAGTTGAGTTGCCCATTGTGTACCCTTCTTTTATAAGCAAGTATATCCTATTTAGTTTGAAACAAAATTTCTACATTTTAAACTCTAAGTGGTCACCTGATAAAGTGCCTATTGACTGACTTTGGTCAGACTGGATGGAGAAATATTTGGCTTTGAGTCATGACGCACAAGCCTTACTGCCCTTGGTCTGTACTTCATGACCTCGAGCCACATATTTTCCTGCCAAGTCCTTCCACTTAGTCAAGTACATGGTAGTGGCTAAATTATTGTGAAGGGCATGATTACAAAAACAGAGGATTTAATTTTTAGATATGCCACACTGCAGATTTAGTTTCTAAAAGCCTAATAATCAAATGTCAATTGCCTTAATGTTGATCATCAGTTATCATTTTTAGCTTTCAACTGTGAATGGCAACACCTCCATTGAGACACTGATCTAAATGTAGCATGGACTGTGATTACAAATGGCCTTCCACTTTATTTAATTTAATTTTTTAAATTTTTATTTATTTATTTATTCATTTATTTATTATAATATGTTTTAGTCATCCTTGAGTAAATTGGCATTGGACCCAGGCAATTGCAACCCAACATTAGTCAGTATAACAGAACTTAAAAACAAGCTCTTAGGAAATCCTTGCAAGATTTTTTAGGAAAGCCCCTTTGAGGACCACTTCAGCCATTTCAGTAGCAAGGGTGATCAAGGAGGAACCTCTATTTTATTCAACATACTTTGAAAATAAAGGTGACGAGATACTATATCAACTTGGAGATATTGTTTTTTGCTCAAAATTCTTAGAGCTAAAATTATAAAAACCTATGGCAGACAGAGATAAAAAGTTGTTTTTTGGACATCAGGAGTGACTGGTTTAATTTTCTAGATGCTGAAGAGCTTACTCATTTAAAGGCTGTCACTGTGTTAAAATTATTGGAAACACAAGTTGAGATGTTTGCAATGCACACTACATGTATTTCAACCTTTTGCTCAAATGTTGGTCCAAACACGTCATTTCCTAAGTACGCTATGATATGGCAGTCCAATGACATCATTTGAAAGTAAAATTTCCTGTACGCATATCGAATGTCTGAGGAAACTGAAATTTTTAAATTGAATATTATGTTTCTCCTAGGTATAGGTTTGGAAGACTTTTCAAAATATTATGGTACCATTATTTCAAACAGATTTTCTTATTTTACATGGAACACGTATCATTATTTTGTTCCGTTTGTTTTTCCTATTATTCCTTAATTTTCGCGCCTCATCGCCTGATTGCCTGTAAATAAGCTGCTAATCGAGTAATCCTGGAACCTATTCTTCTCTCCCCAGTCTTTCCTCCGGCGCTAAAAAATTTTCAAACAACAATCTGCCTCTCGTCGTTAATGTTAAATTTATTCGGGGATTTCTTGTGAAGCGACTTCTTGGCGGATGATAAAGGACTACCTTTATTCTGGAGGTGATGGTTTTGTAATAGAGCACCCAGTTATTTCGACAGCGATTATCACGCAATACCATTATACGGATCAGAAAGCGCGTTGTTTTGTCATGCCTCTATCAATCAGCTAGAATGTGCGTGAACTTCATCTACAAAAGCAGTATTTTTCTTTTCAGCCTTTGATGAGTGTATATTCACGCTACAATTGTGTCTTCAACAGCGTACATATCTGTGTATTTGTGTGGGTACTTACGGCATGAATAAGGGACGAAATTCGAGCGCCTTGCAATCAACTGTACATTTTTTATCGTCGAGTACCTTGTTGGCGAATGGTTCTGACCGAAAACGTTCTGTAGTTGAGATTTGTGGTTTTATGGCTGAATTGTAAAGTGATTATGTCTGAAGAGACCAAAGAGAGCTTAGGAGTGAATTTTCGATCAAAGGAAACAACTGAATGTACATCGAGCACTACTGATGCATTCCTCGTCCCGTTTGGGGAGCTCGACGAATCGCCGGTTGAACAACAAGACCTTAGCGGACTGCTCAGGCAAGTGATGTGTTTGTTTCGGCTTGTTTTGTTGATAAACTTGTCCGCAATTTGACCTCGACCGTGTCTATTCAATACTGATATTTTGTTTATTGAAGTCAGGCTTTGTTAGCGGTATTTTGTCATTCTGTTAACACAGGATAGGGGAAAGGCGTACCGGAGCTTTTATCAACGGATTTGACGGCAAATTTCTTTGCGACGAAGCTAGCAGTTCGTAAGTACTATTTGCTGTCATGGTAATTAGTCACATATATTTCAGAGCCAGATTAAGTTGGAATAGTGGCCTATTAATAAAATGTCTCCGGGCGATATTGGAACGATGTGTAATTCACCACCGGTTGTTTCCCGTAAATTTGCACCGAATGTTCTGTGGCATGACCAAGCTGTCAGTGACTCAAAAAAGTACGGTAGAATAATTAAATTTTAATGATTCCTTAATGATGAAAGCTTAAACCATGGAACCTTCGAATTGAAGATTTATAGTGATATTACTGCAAATGTGCTACAATCAGAAAGAGAGAACTATGTTTTGACTAGTCTCAAACACAAAGAAAGCTAATTTTTCTTAAAATTACAAATTATTTATTTGCCTCATCTAGAGGTAGAAATAAATTAAACAGGG